TGAGCCGCCCAGAGTTCCCCATTGGGGGGAGATGGGCGGACAATAAATCAAATGTATAAATCAATAAAATAAATAAATAAATAATTATCAGTCTGACTGCTGTGTACTTAGAAATTGTGGCGTATCTGTTATAAATTATGGCATGTTACTGATAGTGCTTTGCACACCCATACCCTATAAATTGAGTTTTAGAAACTGGAGTGTATCTTGTTATTTTGTTGTCCTCAGAAAGGAATATGATAATCTTCAGAGATTTTGAATGGCAACTGTCATCTATTTCTGACCATAGTTCATGTCAGCTAGAGTTGATGAGGATTACAAATACATCTCTGGAGTTCTACCTGCCTGTGCTATAGCCATTAACAGGCCTTAGGCCTAAAACAACAAGCATATTTGGATCACGTTGACTAGCACATATTTCTAAAAACATCTTCATTATGGGGATGACCATGCTGTTTGGAGGCATATGTCCCCCAACTTGATCCCCAACTTATGCATGGACAGGGAACAACATGAAGTCAGGTGGTTCCACTTTATTGTGCCTTGGAGCCTGTTATAAATGCCTTAGGGAGGGCATGTGCTCATTTACATTTAAGCCGCTCCTGTCCTTTGCTCATGCTGTGTTCACTCTGAACTGCCTAAAGAAAATCCTCTCCAGACTAAGACGCTTCCACAACAGCTTGCAAGGTATTCAGTTGAGACTGCAGGCTCCCACATTCTCTCATTGGACAATTCCCCAGCTGCTTGGCCCTCCCACTTTTCTCTTCCAAGAAAATGATTGCCAATGGCTTTCGTTCTTGTGGGTGGGTCTTCCTGGAATGCATGTGTGTATGTGTAGGCATGTGTATAAAGTTTATAAAGTTAAATTCAAATTATATGTACAAAGTTAAAGCATAAAGAGCACATATATGTAGGCACAAGCAGCTTTAAAAAAATCTCTTCTTCCACTCTATCTCCCTTTAGCAGCATTACAGGTAGTCCTCATTTAGCAACTGCCTTGTTTAGTGACCATTCGCAGTTATGACAGTGATGGAAAACTAACTTTGCGACCAATGCCCACATGTATAACCTTTGCAGGTCTGTAAAGCAAAGGAAAGCTGAAGTAAGATCATAACACAGTCATGGTTTCACTTAGCAACCACTTTGCTTAATGACTGGATTACCAGTCCCAGTTGTGGTCTCTAAACAAGGACTACCTGTACTTAAACAGAACAGTGGTTAAAATCTTCATGTAGCATAGGGACAGGTAGTAGTTTGAAATCTGGCAAATTTTCTTATTGATGTTGCTTGAATTCTTATTCTTATTCTTATTCTTAT